TGTGTGTGTGTGTGTGTGTGTGTGTGTGTGTGTGTGTGTGTGTGTGTGTATGAAGGTCCAAAGTAGCATGTGATGTGCAGAATGTCTACCGTGGGCCTGGAGACAGTGGCCACGAGGAAGGCAGGTCACAGGCATAGAGCTCGCCCAGTGGCCTCAGAAGAGGAAATGGTGGGGTCAGGGGTGGGGGAGGTGGTAATAAGAAGCACCATGACCAACCCGAATACTGCTCTGGAGCTTGCTCCGAGCACAAACAACCTTGCACCCACCATCCATACACAGCATCAGGGAAGTACTCCACGGTTATCTGGGGATGACAACGCATGTTCAGCGCACATATGAGGAATAATGCCCAGGTCTGCTGAGCCCATAGTACTGTGCACATCTTACACTTCCAAGAACTGACCGGAAGGACCATGTATCAGCCAAACTGTAACTCACTCCTAAGGCAACGGTGCTCTTTTTTTTTTTTTTTTTTTTTTTGACATATTTGCTCTTGGGTAAAGGTGAAGTGCAGGGGTGACATCATCCTAAACATAAAGCATCACAGAACTTGGGGGTTTGCTTTCGCTCACTTTTATTGTGTGCCCAACCAGCCTCAGCTCCATCATCCTGCTGTCTCAGCCTCTAGAGTGCTGGGGGTGGCAAAGAATGTGAGGAGTGAGACTGACATTAATTAAACAGCCTTGGTGACTCACTGCTGCTCTTCCTTTCAGACTCGGAACTGGCCCTGATGTACAACGACTCCTCCGTCTTAGAGAACCATCATTTGGCTGTGGGGTTTAAGTTGCTCCAGGAGGAAAACTGTGACATTTTCCAGAATCTGACCAAAAAGCAAAGACAATCTTTAAGGAAAATGGTCATTGACATTGTGAGTAACTAGTAAAAGTGATACAGAGTTCTCATAGATGAGGTCAGGTTGGAGTTGGGCGGCGGACTTGTAGAAACCGCCTCTGGTGTGGCTGGGAGGTTTCCTCCATGGTAGTGTCTCTCTTCCTAGCAGTTGGGGTCAGAATAAATGGCCTCACTCAGCAGGCTGTTTTCTGAGCTCCTCTTGTCCAGTGGCAGGCTGAGCGGGATGACTCAGCATATGCAGCCCCCGCCCTCCCATAACTCCAATGGAGTCTTTCCCCAGCCACTTTGAGATACCCTCATCCTGACTCTTCTCCCTGTGGACACGATTCAGAGCAGTCTGGCAACAGGAAGATCTATAGGTATTACAAAAGTAGACTTCATTTTTTTTTTTTAAATTACATTGGTTTCTTAAATTTGTTCGGTGTCTATGTACAATGCACACACGCCAAGGTGTAGCTATGGACTCAGGATGGTTCGTGGGAGTCAGTCTTTTCCTTCCACCACCTGGGTCCTATGGAAGCAATTCAGGTCATGAGGCGTGGGGACTCACTCAGGCATCTTATCAGCCCCTAAAGTGCACTTCTAAGTTTTGTTGTACACAGGGAAACATCATTTGATGTCTTGATCAGGAAAACAAAGCCAAAAAAATCCCTAGCCGATACTGTGTACCCTAAATGGTGTGTGAGGAGCTCTGAGCCAGTGCCTTATAGCAGTAATGGCTCCCTCGTTCAGAACAAGCACGGAGACGAGGATGGTGTTTTTACCTTGAAAGTGTGGGTTAGTGCCTGACGTTTCTGTGTTGTGTATCTTTATCTGGGCTCAGTGAGGAAGAGTTCCCCAAGAAGAAGTCATTTCCACACATCACTATTTCACAATTCATAATCACAATTCAGAGTGAGTGATTCTCCACCCCTTCCAAACCTCAAAATAATTTCTTTGTCCACTTGCAAATCCTTTTTCCTTTTGGCTTCTGTTCACAAGACAATCTCTGCCCTGACAGGTACTTGCGACAGACATGTCAAAGCACATGAATCTGCTGGCTGATTTGAAGACGATGGTCGAAACTAAGAAGGTGACAAGCTCTGGGGTCCTTCTCCTTGATAACTATTCGGACAGGATCCAGGTACAGAGCATCTTCATTTGTTCTTTATGCACACATTAGTGACCGAACGAGACAAGAGCAGTGTCTCCTTTGTCTCCTCACATACATTCAGAAGCTACAGGCAGGACCTTTATCTTATCCTTCTTTGTTTTTAATTGAAAAAAAAAATAGTCTTCATACAATATTTTCTGATCATGGCTTCCCCTTCCCCAACTCCACTCAAATCCTTCCCATCTCTCCTTCTTTTCTCTCCTTAGAAAGCAAACAAACAGGCAAACAAACTGGGGGAAAACACACACAAACACAAAACAAACAAGCAAAAAACATAAAAACCCACAATTGGAAAACATAATATATAAGCAAAAGACCAGTAAGACAGAATAATCCCTACTCCTTTGTAGTCGAACAGGTAAAATGGTACTGGCCTATTCATTTACACATAATAGTATCAACAAAAAACAAAAACTTAACATCTGAAATCAGACCATTTGAGCAGCTAAGAATTTAATTTTCGGTGCACACAAACAGCGCCTCCCAACACACTGAAATGCAGAAGTGGCATAATTCAGAACTGTTAATACAGGTGTGAACCACAGGGACATGGTTGAGCTGTTTGAAATCAGTCTGGCACTGTGTGCATTCAAAGCGTCACAGTCATCTGATGCCAGTTTCCTAGTTTCAAACCAAAAAGAGCTGAACCAGGAATGCCTCCGTCCGCCTTAGGTTCTTCAGAATATGGTGCACTGCGCAGACCTGAGCAACCCCACCAAGCCTCTGCAGCTGTACCGCCAGTGGACAGACCGGATAATGGAGGAGTTCTTCCGCCAGGGGGACCGGGAGCGGGAGCGTGGTATGGAGATAAGTCCCATGTGTGACAAGCACAACGCCTCTGTGGAAAAATCACAGGTAATTCCGTGGCTCCAGGAAAGGGCCGGACCATTTGGCCGCTCTATCTTCATACCACAGTGTTTCGTTTTGTTTGTAGGGGTTTGACATGTCGATTTCACTTCTGTTGATGACTCAAAGACCTTTCCTGTGACTTACAGTCCTGTAGTCACACATATGGCACTACAGTCTTCCATTGTGCCTACATAGAATGCTCGGCATGTTTCAGTTATCTGGATTCTTTACAAATTGGCTCTTCCCCCCCAAAAAGTCCAGGCCCTAACTGTGTAAACAACTAGTATTCTTTCTATTGTAAGAATCCCTTGAGATAAGAGTTCTAACTTTGGCCAGCTAGTAGCAATGCTTACATGATCTGCTGGCTCAAACAGTGACTAAATTTCCCAAACTCGGGTTAGGAGTCTCCTGTGCAGTCTCTGTGGGGGACCACGGTTTGTCTGGTTGAGCTTTTCCGAGTTTCTCAGTCTCACCGGATCGTCTGTCCTTTTACGACCAGGTGGGCTTCATCGACTATATTGTTCATCCGCTCTGGGAGACGTGGGCAGACCTTGTACATCCCGATGCCCAGGACATTTTGGACACTTTGGAGGACAATCGCGAGTGGTACCAGAGCACAATCCCTCAGAGCCCCTCCCCTGCACCCGACGACCAAGAGGAGGGCCGGCAGGGCCAAACGGAAAAATTCCAGTTTGAACTAACCTTGGAGGAAGATGTCGAGTCGGACACCGAAAAGGACAGTGGGAGTCAGGTGGAGGAAGACACGAGCTGCAGCGACTCCAAGACTCTGTGTACGCAAGACTCGGAGTCCACCGAAATCCCCCTGGACGAGCAGGTCGAAGAGGAGGCTGTGGCGGAAGGAGAGGAAAGCCAGCCGGAAACTTGCGTGGTAGATGATTGTTGTCCTGATACGTAACAGTGTAAAGACTGTCATGCTTTTTTTGTTTTTGTTTTTGTTTCTTTTTTTTTAAGTAGAAAAAAAAATTGTTTTCCAAAGTGCATGTCACATGCCACAACCACGGTCACACCTCACTGTCATCTGCCAGGACGTTTGTTGAACAAAACTGACCTTGAACTACTCAGTCTGGCGCTCAGGAATATTGTAACCAGTTCTTTCACCTCCACGTCATCGGAGCAAGGGGTGGGGAGGTCTTCACGAACACGATTCTGACATGGTCTCAGCTCGGTAAAGCTGACAAAGCAGATAAAATCAACTCCAGCTGTTTTTTTCCAAGGGAGCGTGGCTCATTGGACTGCCCGGAAGTTGATTGGATTGCAGGGTTCGTTTGGTTGCAGGGTTCCTTTCTGGCTTGTTTGCAGAAATGTTAAGAAGAAGGCATTTGCGTTTGGTGGACAGAGTGAACTCCCAGATGAAGCGATGAAAACGTCACGAACCGGACACAGCTTGGATCTGTTCACAGGAGCAGGATGGAGCCACAGAAATTGCATACTTTTCTAATTTCAAGTCTTCCTGATACATGACTGAAGAGTGTGGTTCAGCGAGCCACACTCACCTCTACATTTTGTATGATATGTAAAACAGATTTTTTGTAGAGCTTACTTTTATTATTAAATGTATTGAGGTATTATATTTAAAGAAAAAAACAAACTCTGTTCAGAACTTCATCTGCCACTGTTTTGTTTTGTTTTGTTTTTTTTACCCCCTAAGGAGTAACTTGCAAGTTTTCAGTACAGATCATTGCTTACACTGGATAAATCTCATTTACGAATTTTACTCGCACCTTAGAGTTCATAGCAGTTAACTGATTTGTAGTGATTCATTGTTTTATATACTGGTGACTTCCATACTTTAAAACAGAAACAAATTTCTGTTGCCAGAAACCCTTTTTGTAAGTGTCGGTTGACTCTGTTTTGATTTCACTCCTCCCCCAGTCAGGAGAATTGCTCTCCTTCATTGCTTCCTTGATTGTGTTCGAAGTGAGAATTTACTCTGTACTGCTTTGATGTGCATTCTGTCCAATGTGTCTTAAGCCTCATAGAAGTTCAGGCATCAGCTGGTGGTGTCTGAGGTAAATACCCTATAGCTAAAACAGTCTTTTTCAGGCATTTTCCTACCTACTGCCTTCTGATGACTTTTTTTTTTCTGTCCTGTGTCCTTGTAGCCACTCACACATTTCATGATTATTTTCTTGTTCACATCCAGTTAGAGGAAGAAAAACATTGTCCCTTCATGCTGCTTTATTTAATGTGTGTTCCAGCCTTTGCCCATATTCACTAGGTGGGGTCTTATCAAGTGTGTCACTACCATTCTGACTGGGGAAAAAAAAAAAGAAATAGATTGTCAGGTTAGGGTTGATGCTCATTTCTACCATATGGTTCTGTGTCATTACCAGCTTTTTCTCTGAGGTTGCAGAGGAAAACCATGCTAAGTGCTGTGTAGGAACTTCTTAAGAATGTTAGCTGACTATATCAGCAAATACCAGGACAACCACTGTTTGAACTGCCCGTGGAAGTAAGACCTCCATGAGGAAGAGCTGGCGAAAGTGATTCTAAGTGCAGCAGCCTCTCTCCCTTAATGGATAGCCCAGTAACAGGTACAAGTTGCCGTGGATTAGTATTGCTCTGTAAGCTTGTCCTGTAGGAAGGACTGCTTCAGACACACTGAAGGGGAGCTGATGGTGCCCCTGGCACCAGGACGGTAGTTATGGGATGGAATCTAAAACTTGGGATTGTAGGAGTCTGCCTCAGTACAACATCAAGAGAGAACTGTGGATTCCAGCACTAAACACTCTCTTGATTTTATAGATTAATCCCCAGTGTTAATTTGCTGACGGCAGCACGTGTTTAGTCTGGGCCTTAGTTGTACTTGGTGTAGTGTCTGGAGTTGTTGTTGTTGTTGTTATTATTATTATTATTATTATTATTATTATTATTAGCACCCAAATGGGGACTAAAGGGGAGGAGGTATATTGAAAATGAAACATTTAAGAGAAACTGTAAGTCTGAAAAAAAATTCATGTATAAAACTTCTCAAAGACGTTAGGGCCTAGTAACTGAGAAAGTAAGTCAGAGAGATCAGTCAAGTTGCACTTAAACCCTACTTCAATCTCTTGAATCCAAATGATGCTCTGGTCTTTGACATAGGTCAGGGTAAGAATCAAATAGCTGGAGTGCCAGCCTCCTTTCCTTGTAAAGAGTAAATGGAACCTAATCTGCCTTTGTGTGACCAGAGGTTTCACATTTGGGCACCTGTTTTTCATTTTATGTATCCCCAAAGGAGGGTCAGAAGGAAAGGCAAAGAATCTAGAGTTTATTCCCTTTTCCAAACTGTCCTCACTTCCTTCTCTCCCTGCACATGGCATTTCCCTGACAGAGTGCCTGCAGTCTTAATAATAATAATAATAATAATAATAATAATAATAATAATAATAATAAAATTAAAGCAGCAATACGTCATAAACAGATCCTAACCTGCAAGGGTTCACAATGGCACCGATGTGCTGTAATGATATCCACTGATGGACAACCCAGCTGTAAGGGACACATACTATCCAAGAGTTAGGGACTAATGGACTAGACCTACCAAGCCATCTGCTTCCCACCCCAACCCCTTATCGGGCCCCTGCCCACTCTCTCGCCAAAGTGTGCTTCACAATACATACTGAACTAAAATGAACATCTTCATACAAGTGGCTTCACATTTCACAAAATGCCATAAGAAAATGCAATATCTGGGTACTGTATGGGGAAAACATAGTCCAAGGTTACACAAAACCAGTACATTTCAGCTTGCAAGTTACTGAACACAATAATGCTTTTGTTTTCATTCACATCAGTTAAAAGTCACAGGTAAACAGTGTAGGTAGAACAAATTGCAGATAAGGAAAGAAAAAAAAACTTGAATGAAACATCTTATAGAAAGCTTTATGATAATTTTAATGCATTATTTATTTTTTTCGTGCCATGCATTTTTCTCACCAAATGACCTTACCTGTAATACAGTCTTGTTTGTCTGTTTACAACTGTGTATTTATTGCGATGTACATACTGTAATGTTAATTGTAAATTATCAGTTCTTATTAAAACATCGTCCCGAGACGGGATGGTGTTGACATATTTGGAAAACTCTTGGTGAGAGAATGAATGGTGTGTATACATACTCCTTGTACATTTTTTCTTTTCTTCTGTAATATAGTCTTGTCATCATAGAGCTTGTTTATGGAAGATTCAAGAAAAATATAAAATACATAAAGATATATAAATTTAAATAACATAGCTGCAGGTCTTTGGTCCCAGGGCTGGGCCTTAACTGTAACCAATATTTTCTTCTGTTTTGCTGCATTTCAAAGTTAGGCGAGGCTCGGGCTGGGCGTTTCATATCCATGCTCTTCACTGATTGGATTTCTGGCCATAGCTGGATTTGACAAAACTGTTGATCACTGATGGAGAACCATCTGACCCTTTTCAGAAAAAAAGCTCTTAGGTCGTTGATGCCATGGAGCAAGATGGTCAGGTGGTGCCTGTTCACCAGCTGAGTCCTGGGAGCTCCTTCACCTGGACAGGTGGGATTGATTTTCTTACTCCCAAACATATAGGAGGGAAACATTCTTCTCCAGTGACTGTAGAATGGCTTTTTTGCTTCCTAGAGCTCACGGGAAGATGAATTTGATTTGAAACAGGAGACTTAGGTGACTCATCTTGGTTAGTCCTCTGCTCACCAGCTTCCCGTCATACCAAGAATTTGACACTATTCTTAATACATTTTTTTCCTCCAAGATCAACCAAATCTATATATGTATAGTACATAGTATATATGTGTAATACATATACATACAAACACAGATAGATATGCACATTTCAGTCGTCTACCTAAACACAATTCCATGATGATGCTAATTCACATAGCATAAAGAGTTCACATCTCTAAAAGTTACAGTAAAACGTATGCCCATGTGGAACTGTTAAGGATAACCTTGCAAAAGAGCTAGTCCTGGAAGCCATGAGCAGTTTCTGGCGGAGTATGTGGCCACCCCCCTCCCACTGTAGCCCAGCCCTTAGAATGCGTGACATAGCGAAAAGACAGATTCTTTTTTTTTTTTTTTTTTTTTTCCCTAGGGAAAAAAGAGCCTCTTTATTATTTCATTTTGTTTTTTGACACAAACTGTAGATTTTAGCAGCCCTGGCCCAAAGGAATTTGATTACTTTTGTTTTAAACAGTACAAACGGGACACTATACTCAGAAAACACATCCTTACCGATTTCAGTTTTTTAATCGTTATGTTTCTTTGGGTATGTTTTCAGAGTGGTAATTTATGTGTGAGCATCGCAGATGCTGAGTCTGTTGGTGGTTTCTTAGCCTCTCTTACAGCCCATGGGGATAGTACTGTACATCAATACCTTCATATAAAACTTTTTATATGCAATGAAAATAAAAGCATGGGTTGATTCTGCCTACTTATGATTTTGTCTCTTACAAATAATGTGGGTTCAAACGGTACTTTATTCAGCATACATTTGCAGCAGTAATGATCTTTCTTGATGTGACAAGCTGGCGATCTCAGGTTAGTACTGATATAAGCCAACCTCAGTTTACATGTATGACCTACAAAATGAAACACACAGCTTTCAAAGTACGTCCAAGAAGGAGCCGCCTGCATTTAAATAAATTTTCTGGTAGACCAGGAGCTATCATTCTGATGTTCAAGCATACATGGACACTGATGTGCAGATTTCTGGGATTGGCAGTGAAGAGGCAAAGTCAGCTGCCCTGGGCCTTGTTGTCTGGAGTGATAGAGGCATGGAACATTTCAGTGCACATGTAAGGAAAAGTGACAGGGAAAGTGACAGAGAAGACCAGTTTTACACGTGTTCAGCATCATTATAGGTGGGGCTTATCTGAATGTTTTTGCTCCTTGGTTGTGTAAGCCTGAGAGCGTATAGAGGCAAACACTGAGTGTAATTCAATCTGAAGATCTTATGATAATCTGAGAGTATTTGAAACTTAGTTTTAAAAAAAAATATGGGCTATTTGGAGTTTTTAGCTTGCTAAACCTAGTTAGGGCCTGAATCTCTTTTATTGCTTAAAAAAAAAAAAAAAAGACAAAAAAAAAAAAAACTTTGCCAACATCTTACATATAGTAAGAATAAATGTCAATCCATTTCTTATGATAAATAAAACGTAAAGCGAACACCAATTTGTTCCCCAGGTAGTGTTCAAACCACAGGCAGCAGAACAAAGGCCATTAAGTACGACCATCAGGCTCTGCACGGTTCCTTCCAGCCGCATCAGAGAAGAGTGGTTTCCATAGTCACGCTCGCTCCGCGGGCTGGTGAGGTGGCCTAGTGGGTCAAGATCTCACACAGTAGAAGCAGATAATTGACACTTGAAGGTTTTCCTCCATACACATGCCAAGGCACGTCTGTAACACAGAATAGAAATAAGTTTTTTACAGATGTGTCTGATGTATGCCTTCCAGGAAAGCTTTCCTTTAAGATTCAGAAAAGCCAGTTCCCCTTTTCCCTCCCTACCTGTGTCTCATACTGAGAGACTCATTTTGTAAGTTGAGAGACTTCACTTATATACTTCTCCAACATTGGACCCACAGGAACAAAATTTTACAAATAGTTATCCCAAAAACATCTCTCTGTTTGTAGAGATCGCCAGC